TCAATAGCTTCATGCTATCATAGTAAAATATGCACTTTTAAATCTAATATCTTGCAAACCCTTTACATCTTTGGCCACCGTGAGTTTGGCCTGTGCAACATGATCCTGTGCAATTTTCAAGATATCATGCTGCAACTTGTCCTGAAATAAGACACAAGTATACAGGTAAAACATTCCTTTTTAATTAGTGATTTGTTTTGCCCATAAATAAGGAAAAAACTTTTACAATGATCTTTAATTTTGTGACTTTCAATGAAAAAAATATAATTATAAATAGGCAAAATATTTAATCAATAAAATTTCAACAGAATTTCATAAAACAAAGTTATTTATTTTTTTTTTTTTAAATTATTTTGAAGGTAACTGAGTAGTTTCCTCTAAAATAAAATTGTAAATGGACAAGAGACACAATTATTTAAAATCTTAATTTTATCACACCTATAGCTTCAATTACTCAGGTACATGTATCTACAAAGAAAGGTGTCAAATAATACCTGTTCTACCACCACAGCTAGAAGACATAATTGCCCTAATTACTCTATAATTATATACTTAATCCCAACACATCAAAGATTCCATGTTCTGTGATCTAGTAGGATTATCTTTTGATCCTTTAATAATTAGGTATGGTTTACCTTGAGTGATTCAGTGGTGGGGGTATAAATACTGCTAAAAATGAATTATTCATAGGAATTTCAAAGACTCTACAATGAATGATGAACAACTGATAGCCTATGCAGTCGAACTGCAGGAACTTCTTCAACAATGTCAGAAATATGAAGAACAACTTTATGCAACAGGTTTATTAATTGAAATTTATTTCATTTTAATGTCATGCAGATAACGCATTCCTCAAATATCTATTATGTATCTCCTTGTAATTTTATAAGGATATTAAAAATTATTAAAAATTGTCATCAAATTAGGATTTCTAAACTGTTTTAAAAATATTAAAAAAAAACACCAACATTTGTATATAAAAAAATTATGATACTGGAAACACCCATAGGTATTTTGCACAAATGTCTAGCAAGGTATCTCAACTATTTGTGACCAAACTTTTTATAAAATATATCATATATTTTTATGACAAATTCCTAAAGAAAATTATGTCTTATTGAGGAATGTATTGCCTGACTTAGGACCTCTTCCTTGGATAGATCAACTGATCAAATGAAAAAAAAAAGACTCAAAGTACCAAGAAATTTTGCATTTAAAAAAACCTTTAAAAGATTTCCATCTTAATTTACTTTTTTAGTCACTTTCTCTTCTTATATTAGGTAAACAACATTTCATAAGGCCTATATATTGTTATGTATAATTCATTACTCCCTCTTCTCCCCCCCGCCAACTTTAATTTATCAATTTTTAGAAATCATATTGAGTTTATAATTTCAATTACAGAGTCCTACATCCAAAGCTTGTCTACAAGGATATTCGCCTCACATCTACAAGAACAGGAAGGCCTACATAACAGCCAACTCCTGAGAAAGTCTGTCGCGTGCGGCATCAAGAGAATTTACCAACATCTCAAAGACAACACCATTCAGGAAATCCAAAATTTGTCTAATAAAATCATTTGTATTCTGCAGCCAGGGATCCAGGCTTCTTCTGTGGAGGATCCATTTGAGGTGTTAACGAGACTAACTGATGTGGATAACTTTGTGTGTAAAGCAACAAGGACATTCTCTGTGTTTTCACGCAATTCATAAATCAGACAGTGAAATAATTATTGTGTGTTAATGTGTTGATATTTGTGCATTAATGCTTCAATCCATTTTAAGCAAAAATAATGTTGATAGTGCTTATTTGTATGTCATTAAAATGTAACATACCAAAATATTAGATTTATTATTTTTTTTCTTCAATCAAAATGAAATGTGATTATCTTAACTTTGTAAATCTCCTTCATGTTTACTGATTAGGTCACTGAAAAGGGGAACTACTTTAAATTTATAAGCAGCATTGCAAAAATGATAAGAATGTTAAGTGTTATCTTATCTGCCACATCACCATCAAAATTTTTTTCCTGTCCATAAACAATATTTAAAGTAAACAAGAAAAGACCATTATTCAAAGACAAAGTGACATTCTAGTCTGAGACAAAACATGCCATTTTATAATTTGAGATCACCTACCTTTGCTTTCCCGCTAGGAGAGCCCCCAGCCTGTGACATGAGGTGTGTGTTCAATGCCTCCCTACTGTCCCCAGGGATTTCTGTAGGGAGGTGGAGCGGAACTTCTTGATGAAGTTAGATGCTGTTCGCTCGGCCACAAAATCCACACATCTCCTCAGAGAGGCTGGGTGATTGTGGAAGAAATTCTCCTCCAGTTGTAACTGAAAGGGGAAAAATAAAATGATTCAATAAAGTTTTAGGATTCTTTTCTCATTAATAGTAACTTTGATTTTGTAGTGATATAACAATGATCTGAATTCAACTTTCTTAAGATGAAGCCCTTTCTAATTTTTACCTTTTAAATCTGATCAAGAAAAAAATCCCACTGTTTATCTGCCAAAGAAAAATTGCATTGCAATTTTAATCACTCGATAAAATCTTGCAAAGCAGAAATACCTGAATTTGAACATCTGATGGTTTAGGGATGGTAGTATCCTCGGCTGATACGGGAGTGATTTTCCTGATGGTAGATGTTTTACTGCTACAGCCCACAGCAAACTCCGTCAACAGGGTTCTGAGTTCTACTGCTCAAACATTAGCGAACAATGATAATAAAAATGCTTGTAATGACCTACACCTTAAAATAATCTATTCTACGAAAAAGTCAAAATAAGAAAAAAACTAAATCTTTATGTTCTAATATATGTCACTTACATAAATATGGACAGCAGGAGTAGAACACGCTTTGATCAACAAATCCCATGGTGTCCTTTTCAAGAAATTAAACAGAAAGGAAAGTCAGTAGCAAATTAAGCCATTCTTATAAACATATTGGTAGTGTTAATCGTCAATGAAAGAAATATATTTACTTTTATCCACTGCATAAATATTGTGAATTAAGTTTGGAGAAATTAAAAAAAATTGCTTCTGTCGAAAACAAATTTGAAAACTTTAATATTACAGATGATGGTAAAAATCATACCAGCTGTAATGTAGACTTCCTTTGAACATCTGGTAAAATATCCAACACATCATGAGGAATTTCAACAAAGAAGAAGCCCTCTGGTATGACTGAAAGCTGAAAAGTACAAGCAATCAGAATACAATTCATTAAATGTACGATCAACTTTCTTTGTCTGGTTTCAAATTATCAGCTATTCTCATCACAAAAATCAAGGTTATATCTGACTAAACTTACATCTAACAACCAGCTTATCATTGTTAAATAAGGAGGAAACCATAATTCTCATGCTTCAATTCTCTCCAACATGATCTGAAAAATTAAAGAATTTACCAATATTGTGCTTAGAATCCCATGAGAATGGACAAAAAAGTAACAAGTGCAATCGTTTTAAAAACCTTACACAAAAGCGCTAATGTAGAAATTCAGTTAGGAGCCTCTCCCCTCAATAAAATAAAATGCTAAAAGAACAACTAAAGTTCTTTAAAAGTTAACATATTCAGAATCTTTACCTATGAATAAGTAATAGTAAGAATAGAGTCAGCTGGAAGTGGTCAATTTTGGGGGCTACCACGTCCATCATGCTTAGGAACTCCACCACCCAGGGGATGGTGAGGGTAGGCGATGGAGGGACAGGGCCTCCTTAATGCACTCCACTAGGTCCAAGTATGGCAGGTGCTGAAATGCATAAAGTGTATATAAAACGTATCACTGGAACCTAAGAACAAATTTCATATGTAAATGTACTAATTTACACACTGATTACTACATAAATCTCCCAATTGCAAGTCTTATTTTTAACATATCTTGAGATTCAAGATTATGGGAATGATTTATGACATTTGTAATTACTGCACAGAAATATACAATCAAGTATGAATGTCAAAATGATATGTTATATCACAATGAAATTCCATCACTTTTATAGCATTTCAAAAGGTTATTGTGTACAGTGCTCAAACTCTACAAGAAGGGAAAAATAGTTCAAAAACATTTCATCTGCCCAAGATTGGTATGGAGCAGCTTACATTTTTCCTTATTGACAGATACATGGCCTCCATTTCATCTGGCAGTTTTGTGGTTGTTTGATAAGGTAGAAAGGTCACAAAGCCAAGGAACTTTCCAAGAAGCCTCAGGGTGAAGAGACTAGAAATAAATAACTCTTTCTGTTCCTGAAATTCATATAAAGAATAAATTACTCCCAGTGACATTGGATTTGTTATATCTGTATTGTGCCATCATATCCTAGGAATGGTTCGGGAAAGAAAACAATGTTCTAAATGAATGACTTACATCATCAGAATCTTCATTTCCAGTTTCTTCTTCAGGGAGAAAACATATTGAATTCAACTGAAAATATTTCAGAAATCCTTATCATATACAGTTTACTTACAACTTTATTAATTGTTGATTTTTTTTCTATTTCGAAGAAGGAAAATCCTTGAATATTAACTATACTGTAACTAATTGATTGGAATAAAGTAATTCATCATGCCTAATCAAAACAATGAAAGGCTTTCAATTTCATGTACATGTATATATATCTGGTTTCCTCCTCTGAGGATTTGTCCATAAAAAGGTTTGAATAGTTTAAAATGTTTTCAAAATAGTTTTACAATACCTCAAGAATTTTTGATGCAAAAGTATCACTCAAATGCTGGTTAAAAATAGTGCTGGATGCAGCAATGATGAAATCGCGGAAGAATTCCTGACACCCAGGGAAGGCTGGGACAGGACAAGGGCCTCCAAAACTTAATGGCTTAAAAATCTCTCCTGCAGTCTGAAAGTTGAAAAATGTGGCTGAAGAAAGTATTGGGAGAGAAAATACCTCAAGTCAAGTAATATTGGAGAGGTGGATATACAACCACTTAACAGTGGCAGTGGTGCAGTACCCTTTAAAACAATGAAGCTGAATATAAAAGACTCACTTTTTAAACTTTTCTGGATTAGAACGCTTTAACTGAGTTAACAAAGCAATATTGTCATCACCAGAGTCAGCCATTAAACCACTGTCTCCTTTACACATCTGGAGAGAAAAGTTAATCATAAACGTAGGATATAAACAGCTTTCAGTAGTAAAACTAGAGGAACATCAATGGCAAAATGGATGTTCTGTTATGGGAGAGCCATAAAATCTGATAAAAATTTAAAATAAGAGATGGACAGACATTCTCAAGTTTT